CTCGTAGCATGACCGGCAACTCCGAGTTCTACACGGAGTGGACCGAGTCCTTCGACACCTTCGACGAGATGGGGCTGCACGAGAACCTGCTGCGCGGCATCTTCGCGTACGGGTTCGAGAAGCCCTCCGCCATCCAGCAGAAGGGCATCGTGCCCTTCGGCAAGGGCCTGGACGTGATCCAGCAGGCCCAGTCTGGAACGGGGAAGACCGCCACCTTCTGCGCGGGCATCCTGCAGAACCTGGACTACGCGCTGGTGGAGTGCCAGGCCCTGGTGCTGGCCCCCACGCGCGAGCTGGCACAGCAGATCGAGAAGGTCATGCGCGCGCTGGGCGACTACCTCGGGGTCAAGTGCCATGCCTGCGTTGGCGGGACCTCGGTGCGCGAAGACACCCGCATCCTGCAGGGCGGCGTGCACGTCATCGTGGGCACCCCCGGCCGCGTGTACGACATGCTGCGGCGCCGCGCGCTGCGCGCCGACGCCATCCGCATGTTCGTGCTGGACGAGGCGGACGAGATGCTGTCCCGCGGCTTCAAGGACCAGATCTACGACATCTTCCAGCTCCTGCCGCCCAAGATCCAGGTGGGCGTGTTCTCCGCCACCCTGCCCCCCGAGGCACTGGAGCTGACGCGCAAGTTCATGAACAAGCCGGTGCGCATCCTGGTCAAGCGCGACGAGCTGACGCTGGAGGGCATCAAGCAGTTCTACGTGGACGTGGGGATGGAGGACTACAAGCTGGACACGCTGTGCGACCTGTACGAGACCCTGGCCATCACCCAGTCGGTCATCTTCGCCAACACGCGCCGCAAGGTGGACTGGCTGACCGACAAGATGAGGGAGCGTGACCACACCGTCTCCGCCACCCACGGAGACATGGATCAGAACACGCGCGATGTCATCATGCGCGAGTTCCGCTCCGGCTCCTCCCGCGTGCTCATCACCACCGACCTGCTGGCCCGCGGCATCGACGTGCAGCAGATCTCCCTGGTCATCAACTTCGATCTGCCCAACAACCCCGAGAACTACCTGCACAGGATCGGGCGCAGCGGGCGCTTCGGGCGCAAGGGCGTGGCCATCAACTTCGTGTCTAAGGACGACGAGCGCCTGCTGCAGGACATCCAGAAGTTCTACAACACCGTGATTGAGGAGCTGCCCAGCAACATCAATGACCTGATCTGAGGTGGGGGAGAAGCGTGCAGGGGGAGTAAGGGGGGGAGGGCGAGGGCCCTGCGCCTCCCCCCCAATCCACCAGCCCTGCCCTGCACGGACCTGAGGCAACCCGGTGAGCCAACACTGCGCCTGCGCGGCCAAGCACACACTGTTCCTGGCATGCACTGATGCAAGAAAGCATGGGACATGTGAAGATGGAAGCAGAGAGTGGGGGGAGGTGCAAACTCGAAAATGCCACGATCCAGCGCGCACGCTCCGTGGGGATCGAGGGCCCTCCCTACGAGCATAGACCTGTCGATCGCCGCGGTCCGAGGCGATCGCTGTGAGATTAACAACTCAACAAACGGCACGAGTGCAGGCTGCTGAGACAATCGGAGTGGATGTAGGGCCTCCCGACACCCCGTCGCCCAGCCATGCAGGGAGGAGAGGGTGAGCGGGCTGGGGCCAAGCTGACCTCTCCAGCGAAAACGCGGCCGCCAAAGAAACTCGACGATTCACCAGCCATCAAGAGAGCAAAGACAGAGACGAAAACACCTGTGTTAAAGTCAGGTGAGGTGCCGCTCCCGGTGAGGGAGGGAGGACAAGCCACGAATCTCGATCCTGAGGCATAAGAGGCAGCAAGCCTGTTTGACTGCTGTCCACATGCACGAAAGTTACAGTGGCAGAACCAGAGGAGGAGCCAGCGGAGAGCGTGAACCTGGCAGGCAGCCTGGCAAGAGAGTGTGAGCTTGCTCATTGGCAATGGGCCGTCTAATGGGAAGCTTGCTGCATGTACAAGCATTCAAATTGTACACTCAGTGGGTTGAGAAGCCTATTTGAAACGCCTTTAGACTTACTGCTCCTCCACAATTCCCCGCCTTGCAGTGCAAATCATGATGTTTGGATTTGGTGATGACCCTAACCCCTTGCCTGAGACCGTGGATCTGGTGGAGGTGGGTTTGGGGTTGTGGGGGAAGGTCTTGTGGACGTTGATGGTGTCTTGCATGGTGTAGGAGGGGTCGCGATGCAAGTTGCCCAGCAGATCTGTTCCTCGCGAGGTCGAGGGAGGAGTCAGGGAATCGAAGACCAGGGCGCTAGACAGGAGGTGGGTTTGGCCCTGACCAGCCTCTCTTGGCTGCTCTGCCACCCCCCTCTGACCCCGTGCCGTGCTTTCCACGACTTCAGGATATTGTACTGGAGTACACGACCCGCCTGCTGGGCCGGGCGGTGGACAGCGCCGCGGCACGGGGGAGGGTCAAGCCCGGGTCAAAGAGCAGCGTTCCTGTGGCCATCGGACCCGAGGATATTCTCTTCCTCGTCAGGAAGGTAAGGCTGAAATGCCATGGGGGTATCAGGGTGTTCATGCATGGATATGTTGGAGGCATAGCAGTTGGCAGGAGTGAATGAGTGCTGCCTGGAGCACTAGCAGGGGCCATTCGTGCATGCTGCTGATCCCCTTTTCCCAACTGGACTCCGTGCAGGACAGCAAGAAGTTTGCCAGGGTGCGGGAGCTTCTAGTGATGCAGGAGGAGATCAAGAAGGCCAAGTCGGTGAGTTGGATGGACCAGGGGCCATGACCTGCTCAGGTTTTGGGTCGTTTTTGCCTCAGGTTGATTCTGCCATATGCCCAGTGCTGATTCAGGTTGAGAAGAGGGCTGTGTCATTAGCTTCCTACAATGCCTGCTTGTGACGAGCACGGTCTGGAGATTGTGCGACCCCACCTCCATTCCATTTCTGTGTTGATTCAGATTGTGGATGTGAGCCCGGAGGAGATGGCCAAACTGGTGGGCTGATGCACCTGCCAAAGCCACTCTGTCGAGCACCAGGAGCCTTATCTATGGTGGCTGGAGGTTACCCCCTGTTCTCAGTCAAATGATGAGCTTCAAATGTCCTGTGACATCATTACTAAGAGCCCTCTCCAATGGAGATGTTTTGGGGGCCTGCTCTGTGCTCAAGTGCTGCGCTTGTAGGCTGTGGCTCACTACCTGTACGTGCTTGACTTTTGAACTTGTAATACCTCCATGCATGACACCTGCGGGGTCAGGATGTACGCCAAGCCCTGCACCCGGTGAGGTTCCTCCACGAATCGGGACATGCAGCACGCGCAGCACGCTGTTGATTGCCACGACCATTGAACTCAAAGTAGTAGATGCACCCTCCAAGCCCAGATTGCAAACATGGGTGCAACAAACACCTGAGTGTAGCGATGCTCAATGAAAAGGACGCGCAGTGTATCCGTGGTGGTCACGGACGGTGGGCTCGAGGAGGCGAGGGCCAAGCTTTCCCAACGATCTCGATTTCGCCTAGCAATTCTGAATGTCCTGCCTGAGCCATGGCTGATCTGTGGTGCGTCCCTGATTATCGTCGTGGCGCTCGCGCTGGTCAGCCTGACCCTGTTTCCCTACAGCCTGGCTGCTGCAGGAGTAGGCAGCAGCCCTGCCCAGGCAAGTCTTGATCCAGGGTGGCACTGGCTATCTACCTTGATGGGAATGAGCCATACCGCCCAGGTCCTTTTGCTGGATCTCTGCATACCCCTCTGTTCCCCACCCTGGGGGACTGGGCACCTATTCCCCATACCAGGCCCGGCCGGGGGCCATTAGAAATCCTCTCGCCCAGCCTGCCCCACCCGCCTCGCAGGGGGTCTCCGCGACGCTGCGCGACTTCCCCGTCCCCCGCGTGGCCCTCATGTTCCTCGTCCGCGGCCCCATGCCCCACGAGGGCGTTTGGGCCAACTTCCTGCGCCCCGCCACGGTAACCAGCAGCCCCGCTGCCGTCACCGACCTGCCCTGGCGCCACTTCTTCTCGCTGTACACCCACCCCTCCCCCAACTGGACCTACCCCGCCACCAGCCTGTTTGCGGGAACCGAGGTGCCCGGCCGCGAGCAGGTGGCCTGGGGCCAGCACTCACTCATCGTTGCCGAGCGGCGGCTGCTGGCGGCCGCGCTTGGGGACCCGCGCAACGCACGCTTCCTGCTGGCCTCCGAGTCATGCGTCCCCCTCTGGCCCCGGGAGTCGCTGTACCTGGCGGCAATGGGGCATGAGCGCTCCTTCATCAACGCCTGCCGCAACCTGCGCAGCGCGAAGCAGGCCAGGCAGCAGATGGTGGATCGGTGAGTGAGTGCGGAGGTGGTGGGGGGAAGTTGAGAGGTAGTCCCCGGGGGGGGCCTGAGATCTCCACGTCTCGCATCCGCTGCAGGTACCAGCCTGGCATGGCCATTGCCAACGTTACTGAGGCCGACTGGAGGAAGTCCGCGCAGGTGGGAGCTGGGGTGGGGATGGTGTGCTGTTCGAGTGGATGCGGGGGGCCACCGAGGGCACCACCAAATCAAATCTGTGCGACTCGCCATCAATCACCACACTCCCAATCCGCAGTGGTTCATGCTGACGAGGCGCCACGCCTTCATCACCGTGACTGATACGGTGGTGGAGGGCGTCTTCAGGTGGGGTCCAGTGTCCTGCCGGAGGTTTTGCTGGCGTGTCCCACAGGACGGGTGTATCCAGTTGAATGCAAAATCACGACCATGCCTGCCCCTGGCCCTGCCCACCCCCTGCAAGTGCTTGGCATGCAATGCATCGCACGAGGGCCTTCTTCCCTGCATTGTCGAGGCCATGCCTGCAACCTAGCTTGCTCGGGCACAGCTGCCCCGGCAGCATCACCCACGTCATCCCCCCTTCCGCCACCGGCCCCCTCGCCCCAGGAAGGAGTGCTATGTGGGGAAGGACCGCTTCTGCGTCTCAGACGAGCACTACATCCCCACCCTGCTCGCCCACCTCGGCCTGGCCAACGAGACTAACTGCCGCACCTCGGTGGCCTACACCAGCTGGGGCCCACCGAGCTACGCCCACCCCAAGACCTTGGGGCCAGCAGATGTGAGTTGTCTGAGGGGACTGTGCGTGGAAGGGGGAGGGGAGCGCCTGCGGGGGAAGTGGGGTAGAGGGGCTTGAGCCCTGGCGAGGAGTGCTGGTGCGGGCAGTCAGACCCCTGCGCTGGCTGTTGGGCCACAGGGGGGTTACAATGAGGGTGAATCGAGTGGCAACGTCAGAAAGGCGTGCCAAAGCTGCCACTCACCTCGTTCGTCCCGGACTGGACCTCCAACACTCCCACACACGGCGCCTACTACGCGCAGGCCACCCCCGCCAAGGTGTACATCATGAGGGGGAGTGGGTGTACCAGCAATGCCACGGCGGATGCCGCGGCCCTGCTCGCCTTCCTCAGGCAGTGCCACCTGTCGGAGGTCGCCCGCCAGACTCCCGACTACGTGAGTCTTGGGGCGTTCGTATTCCATGGCCGTTGCCGGATGCGTGCAGGGGCTTGGAATGGGATGCGGGGCCAACCCTGCATGCCGCAAATCCAGCGGGAGGGAGGGGGGCCGCCCAGAGGGAAAAGCGTTTTACATGGAGCTTGGTGGACTCGTATCGCGGCGCAGACTGCACACACACGACCGAGTGCCCTGCCCCCCCTGGCAATCCCTGAGTCATGGCGCTGCGCCCTCCTCTTCGCCTCGATCCTTGGTCACCGACCCACCCTCATTCCCCCTCCGCAGGACGATGAGCCGATGTTCGAGGAATGGTTGCGAGGAAGCCTTGCCGTGTCTGGTCACGAGCACATACCGGCATGGTGCCACCTCACGGCCAGGAAGATGGCGCCGGCCGCCGCGGATGCATGGCGGGCGGTGCTCAGCCCCATGCACAGCCGAGGGGAACCACGGCCCATCGGGAACAGCACCTGACACGGCGGGGGCTGCCTGGGCATGAGCATGCGCCAGAAGGTGTAAGGAAAGAGGGAAGGCGCCACCATCACTTGATCATTGCCAGCCTCACCAGCCTCTGCCCGGCTGCTAAACCACTCCAACTCATCTCACAGTACTGTAGTGATTCCTCTTTGCCAAAGCTTGTTTGGTCTCAGAAATGTCCTTCCTTACACCTCTGATTCTTCCCTGCTCTGCAAGCCCTGTGACAATCATGGGAGCAAGCTTCTTGAAGCAAGCATCAGGTTTCATTCAGCCAGGGCGTATGGGTCGCCAAACAGATCCCCTCACGTGCACCGACCGAATCCAAGACTCCGCGTGGAGGGCACTCAGGCTGAAGACACTGGGACGCCAAGAACCCACTTCTACTTCCATGTCAACAATTTGAAGCCTTCAAAAGAAGGCAGCCATCTCCCCGTGAGCGAAATCGAGCTACCCCCTGTTTCGGAGTCGTGCTCGCCCCTCGTGTCGAGGCATTTCGACCCTCACCATTGCCATCGACCCCTAACTTCCTCCAAGAATGTCAGCAGACAGCGACTCTAGAGGTGGAGGACTGACCTCCTACTTCAAGACATTCTTTGGGAGCACTGTGCCCGCTGCATCGAGCGCAGGCCCGACCACCTCCTCCGGTGTGCCCTCCGGGACCCTGGCGTCGGAAGTGCCTGGGGCGATGCCCCGCCTCAAGGTCCCGCAACACCATGATGATGCAAGGCCAGGTAAGGTCCGTGGTCTCTGGGCATCCCTGCGACCTGGGGCAAGGAACCACGTTTGTCTTCATGGGAGCGATTTCCGGTCGTGCGCGACACGTCCATGCTCCAGAAACGCCTCTCCCCTGTGACATGTGTGCGCCCCCATCCCATCCCTCTCAGAGATCGTCATGTCGCCATCTGACATTGGCCTGTACGAGGTGGGTGGGTGTGCATGATCCAGCTGTTCCAAGACCTGGAAGACTTGGTTTCCCTGATCGCTGTGGAGTCCTGCATAATCTTGAATCAGAGTGGTTGCTTTGCATGTTGCTTGGAGGACACTTTAATGGGTTGGAGTCCATCACCCGTGTTCACGGTCCTCCTCATCCCAACGGTGCAGATCTCACACGACGGAAAATTCAACTGGCGCAAGATGTTCCAGTCGCCGACGCAGTACAACCCCGACCAGGCAACCCCTCCGCCAAAGTGAGGTTGGGGTTCCTCGTGGGTCCTCCAGTCGGGATTCTCCGCAACACATGGTGGCTCTGGCCATCAACTGGCAGATGACCTGCACCCCTACCACCCCCCCAAGCCCCACCAAACTTCTTACTGCACACTCATGCCGTGAGATCCTGCTCCACCCAGCAGCCCCTGTACCTGCCCCCCCAACCCTCGCCCTACAACGGACTACTGCTCGCTGTAAAGTTTTCATTGATGGGCAAGGCAGCGTATGATGGGGGACCTAGCGGCGGCGATGGGCAGGGGATTTCTGAGCCTCAAAGGCAGATGAGGAACAGGGTGCTGCAATGCAGGCGAGCCACCTGCTAGATCGGCTCGGCGCTGCTCCCCGTCACCAACGCCGGCCACATCAGGACGCCAGCTTTGGCGGCGGGGGCGGTGGCTGGCGCCTCGGCGGCTTGGAGGAGGGCGCGGGTTCGGCCTCCGGTTCCATCGCCGGCGCGGGGCTCGCGCGTGGCGCCTCCTGCGCCTCCTCCCCCCTGCCGTTGGCCGCCGAGCCGTCTGCCTGCACCTTCACCGGCGGCCCCAGCCTGATGCTGTTGGGCCCCTCATTGGGCCCTGCACGGTTTTGGGGGTTGGACGGCCATGTGAGGAAAGGCTGTGTCGTACGCCGACGGTGCGTGGCATATTGCAAGGGAGGCGGGGCGGTCAGCGCTGGGACCCGGCGTGGGCTCCGACGACTGGCCAGTCAACATGCACAACCTGTTCCATCCCCTGTTGTCGCGGATGCGTTTGGAGCCCCTTCAACCCCACACACATGCCAGCCTCCTCCACAATCAACCACCCAGCCCCTCCTGCCCTCCCAGCGTCTCTCAAACATGACCAGCGTCCCACCTGGCGAAAGGGCCATGGGCGTGTGCTCGCCGTAGAGCTTGGCGGGGTTTGTCCCGCGCGGCACCAGGTTGGCCGGCACCAGGGGGAAGGCCCCCGCCAGCAGCAGCGCGCGCGCCGACACCGCCGCCTTCTCCACGCGCGGCGAGGTGCCCGTCGCGCGCCGCTCCTGCGCGCGCCGCACCTCGTCCTGAGCCAGCTCCAGCTCTTTGGCGGCGGTCTGCGCCGCCGAGCGGCGCTTCACCACGGTGGAGTCCTCCTGCAGCAGCGCCTCGATCTCGATCGGCCTGTTTGTCGGTGGAAAAGGGGGTTGGTTGGACAATCAGGAACATTCTGTTGAGAATTGGGGAGAGGGGGCCTGACACAGACCCTGCACAGGATTTCCTGCAGATGGACCACGCTGTAGCAGCCGTTGTCAGCGTGACTTGGAGCCTTGATCCTGGTCTGACCCGAGTGAGAACCCACCTCCCTTTTGCACTTTCTAAGAAACACAACCGCCCCACATTCTCTCATCCCTTTCT